GATATGGTTGATTTTGATGTCATTTTGGGGATGGATTGGTTGTCACCTTATCATGCTATATTGAATTGTCATGCCAAGACCGTGACCTTAGCATTGCTAGGTTTGCCTCGATTGGAGTGAAGAGGGACTCCTGGTCAACTACCAGTAGGGTTATCTTTTATATGAAGGCTCATCGTATGGTCGAGAAGGGGTGTTTGGCTTATTTGGCTTATGTTCGTGATTCTAATACGAAGATTCCTTCCATGGATTCTGTATCAGTTGTTCGGGAGTTCCCAGAGGTTTTTCCTACAGGCCTGCTAGGGATGCCACCCGACAGGGATATTGACTTTTGCATTGATTTGGCTCCAGGTACTCAAGCCATTTCTATCCCGCCATAACGTTTGGCCCCGCCAAAGTTGAAAGAATTTGGAAGGACCAGTTGCAAGATTTGCTTGAATTTGGAAGAATAATATATTAAGTTGTCTATATAGTATGATATAGTGTAGTATATCGAATATAGCTTAAATCTTTGTGAGGTAAAAAATGTCTATCTGCCCTAATCATGGAGGAATACAGAAATATAAATAATTTATATTCGTCGGCTATTTGTGGATACATCCATAATAAATTCTTACATGTTTTATTAAGTACTAAGTAGTCCATGTAAGTATAATTTTTTACAAACATGTCAATAGTCGTCATATTTCTTGATCTTTTCAACTTATATAGATATGCAAGCATTACATTAAGGAATGGATGAAATATTTAGGATCTACAAGAATACATACTGAGGATAAATTTTATGTACTAATTATCTCAGTACAATTTGGAATACGAACCTTCTTCTATTCGCTCATATATTTCAAAAAACTTAAATTTAATTAATTAATTTATGATTATACTCTGTACTGTATTTACTTAACTTTGGTTTAATTTGTATACTGAGAGTGATAAGTTTTTTCATTATAACTCTAATGTGATATGTGTCATGAAGGAGAATCAAACGCTTCTCAAGTCTTAATTTATGAGTACATAATTTTTCATTCAACAGAGAAAAAAAAAATATTAACCAAATATGGAAGATTTCTATTCTTCTTAAGGGAAAATGAAAAACTAATTATAATAATTATGTTTTCATCCCTTCAAAAAAAAAAATGGAAAAATTCAAACATGGTAAGAAAATAAGAGCAAACAAACACAATCTACCTATTATACGTAAAGAAAATTGTGGAAACAAAAAATGAAAAAAACCTACGTATATAAGTAAATAAAATTTTGGAAACAAACCAATGACTTTTTCATAAATTTATGTATATATACATTTTTTGTACATTTAGAGAAGGAAACATGCAAAGAATAATTTTGTGCCCTCAGTTTTCACATGTCTTTATAGTTTATAGGCTAAGTTCTTATTTAAATTTCTTAGGAAGAATATATATTATAATCAGTTTAATAAATAAAGTTAGTAAAACTCGCGGAAATTTCATATGACTAATATGGTAACAGAATTTTCTGTTTCCTTCTATACGTACATCATTCTTTAATTACTTACTCAAAACAAAGTCAAGAATCATTATTTTCTCTCCCTATTAATTACTTTCATTGAGTTCGGTCGAACCGTTTCAGCTATTGGATTCAGTCAAACCCGAACTCTATCTCCGCCCCTTAGGATGAAAGTCGAAGGAGAGAAGAAATATGCACTGTTATTAGCAGCTAAGGATTCTGATTATGTGGAAAAAGTATATGGAGGATATTACAATGTGTTTGTTGAAGCTTATGGAGAAGAAGGAGAGAAATGGGATTTGTTCAGAGTTGTTGATAATGAATTTCCAGACATGGCTGAACTCCATAATTATGAAGGTTTTGTAGTTAGTGGAAGTCCTTATGATGCTTATGGGAATGACAATTGGATTCTTAAGCTTTGTCTTCTCTTACAAACTTTATATTTCATGCAAAAGAAAGTTCTTGGCATCTGCTTTGGCCACCAGGTATATATTTATGTTGAGTTTAAGTTTTATACGCTGATCGATAGTGTAAAAGAATTATTACATTATTAGATTCTCAAAGAATAATTACAAGTAACATTGCATACATGTACATAATTACAAGTAACTTTGCGACAAGAGGGGTTGCTCTAATGGTAAGCAACCTCCACTTCCAACTAAGAGGTTGTAAGTTCGAGTCACCCCAAGAGCAAGGTGAGAGTTCTTCGAGGGAAGGATGCCGATGGTCTATTGAAAATAGTCTCTCTACCCTAGGGTAGGGGTAAGGTCTGCGTACACACTACCCTCCCCAGACCCTGTCTATCTACCCCAAGGTAG